TCACCTGAGGATATTTTTCCATTGGTTTTTAGAGAGAATGGAAAGGAGGGAGGGAGAGAGACATCGATGTGACAGGGCAGGACCCTGACAGGGGCCAGGGATCAAACTTGTGACCCTTTGGTCTGCAGGCCGACGCTCTAACCATTGAGCCAAACCAGCCAGGGCAGGAGTCTTCTCTCTTTTTGCTGCCATCCACAGTACGTGGCTTCCACCCCATGCTGTGAAGTCTAGCTTCATGTCTGCCTTCCGTCCTTCAGAAAGAAACAAGGGCGAGGGTGCCTGCCCCCTCCCTCAAGGACACATTCCAGGGGTTTGTGTAAGATATCTCTGCTCAAAGCCTGCTGTCCAGAATTTAGTCACATGGACACTCCTAACTGCAAGGGAGGCTGGGAAATACAATTTTTATGTCAGGAATCCACGTGCCTACCTATTTAGTACTAAATAGGAAGGGGAGATCTGATATTAGGAAAGAACTGGAAGTTTCTGCCCCAGGGTGTCTGCAGAGGAAGGCTGGGGTCATAGGTGATTGGCTATAAGTGATGAGGGGGGAAAATCAGGTCTAGAAATAAATATTTGAAAACGTATAAATGTTAGCTACAATCTTGAGAAGGGATGAGGTGATCCTGCAAGAGAGTAGAGAAGAAAAGGCCCAGAAGAGACCAGTGGGGAACCTCAGAGTTATGCAGAGGCGGGATTCCTCAGGGCCCTGAGGGGAAATGATGAGGTTGTTAGAGGAATAGTCAGGATAAGTTTTCAGGAGAGAGGGGTTAGCAGTTCAAAGGAGGAAGAGATGCCAAATAAGATAAAGAACTAGTCTGTGCTCTGGCCAGTGTGGCTTGGTTGGCTGAGCTGCATCCTGTGTACAGAAAGGTTGTGGGTTTGATTCCCTATCAGGGCACATGCCCCAGTTGTGGGCTAGATCTCCAGTAGGGGGCATGCAGGAGGCAGCTGATAGATGGCTTGATCTCACATCCATGTTTCTCTCTTTAAAAAAACTATATTAAAAAAAAAAAAAAACTAGCCCTGGCCAGTTCGCTCAGTGGTTAGAGCATTCGTCCTCAGAACCAAGAGTCGTGGATTTGTCAAGGGCAAGTACTTGGGTTGCAGGTTCTACTCCCAGCCCTGGCCTGGGTCGTGTGGGAGGCAACCAAGCAGTGTGTCTCTGTCACATCGATGTCTCTCTCTCTCTCTCTCTCTCTCTCTGTTTCCTTCCCTCCCTTCCTTGCACTCTGTTTAAAATCAATGGAAAAACATCCTCAGGTGAGGATTATTAAAACAAAACAAAACAAACAAAACAAAAAACTAGTCTTTAAAAATGTAAGAAGTTGTGATTGTTCTGTTTCAAAATCATAAGCTATCTCGTCTTTTTCTGGAAGGAGACCTGTGTGACCGAATGACCTCCGAGAACTTGAAATGTGTATAAATCCCAGTGTGAGGACGTGATGGTTGATTTAGGTTCTGGGCTGGTGAAATGCACTGCTCCCATCCCTCCTCAGTGAGGGACAAGTTCACACCTGAACAGTGAGGTCACTTATCATCTTCGTCACTATGGTCAGATGGCTGTGGATTACCAGGAGGCTCTGGAATAGAAAATGGAACCCAGCCAGAAGACTCAGGGACTGAGGGCTTAACCTTGCCTTTCGTCTGGGTCTAGGGCAGGAATCAAGATGAACGCAGAAGGGAACTCACATGTGTGCACTAAGAGATGGTAACAGGATGACTGTAGTATTGTTTGTGACAGAGAAAGTTTGGAAACAACCTAAGTGTCCATCAACCGAAGAATGGATAAATAAATTGTGCTGTTGTCATTCAGTGGAATTCTACTTGACCGTAGAATAAAATAAATAAACTAGCCTGGCCAGTATGGCTCAGTGGACTGAGTGTTGTGCCATGCATGGACAGAGAAGTCCTGGTTTGATTCCCAGTCAGGGCACATGCCCAGGTGGCAGGCTCCATCCCCAGTAGGGGGGTGCAGGAGGCAGCCAATTGATGTTTCTCTCTCACATCGATGTTTCTATCTCTCTCTCCTTTCCTCTCTCTAAAAAAATCAATTAAAGCATATAAAAATAAAAAAATAAACTAGATTCGTATGTATCAACATGTGAAAACAATGTTGACTGAAAACAAAGCATATTGCAACATAGAAGTAGTTATATAATTAATATACTTTTCATGTAAACATATAAATCTAGTTTAGATACAAAAACATGGAGTAGTAGGGTACTTAACAAATTCATGGCAATGATTGTCTTTGAGGAGGGAGGGAGGGAGACAGGACTGGGCAGGGATTTCAACTTTATCTGTATTGTTCTAATTTCTCTTACTAAGAAGTATTTGAAGCATATGAAAAAGGGGTCAATTTATTTAGTTTTTAGAGAAATGTAAATTAAAGCCACAGGAAAAAGGGGGGAAAACTGCAGTAAGATACAAGTATACACTCACCAGAAAGGCTAAAATTAACACATCTAGCAACATCATATGTTGACACAAATATGGAGCAACTGGAATTCTTATACATTTCTGGGAGTGTAGATTCATTCAACCACTCTGGAAAACAGTATTATCGAGAGCTAAGCACATGCTTTTCCTATGATTCTGAAACTTCTTTCCTAGGTATAAACACACATAACGTGCACCAGAAGAAATATACAAGGACTTTCATAGCAGCTTTATGTTAGTCAATGACTAGAGATAATTAAAGCAATTTGGTTATTCCACGTCTAGACATATATCCTAGAGACTTTTAACCATGGACACAAGGAGACAGGAGTTAAGAATACTCCCTGCAGCACCATTTCAAGTCACATCACCACCACCAACTCTAGCAAAAACAAAGTCGACCAGCAGGAGGATGGATTAATACTGTAACAACATGCATGAGTCTCATAGACATTATGTTAAGCAAAAGAAGCCAGGTTTAAAAGAATACATACACGATGATTTTGTTTAAGGAGTTTTAGAATTGGCAAACTAATTCTTGGGGTTACTTATAGGGTCCTATGAACTGGAAAATGGCATAAGGACCCTTCTGGGATGATAATAAAATACCACATCTTGATCTGGATGGTAACTACACAGGTAAACATTTAGCAAACTTACATTTAAAATTTTGCATACTTTGTTGTATTTAAGTTATACCTCAAAAAAATATCTGAAGCGAAAATAACAAAATGCTAACGTGTCGATTCTCAGTGGTGGCTGCTCAGAGTGCTATTGCCCAATTCTCTATATTATCCTATATATTAAAATTATAATTAGGAAAGAGTGTGAGAGCAGTACTCTTCCATAACCAAAGTGACACCCATCCTAGAGGAGGTGACACTTTGAGTTGGGGCCAATTGCCCAGCCATCTCCCCAATGGTTGGGTGAGTTCCCTTAGAGTGGGGTGCAGATGACAACCAATCTCTCCTGGTGGAGATGAGGTTATCTTCATTGTCACTGTCTCAGTAAATTGACATGGCTGCTAAAAACTGGAGCTGTTTTGTGGGTTGTTTTGAAGGTCAGCTTGGCTGAGATTCTTCAGCTGACTGGGACCCTGAGCCATGCAAGAGCTGGACTGGGGTGTCTACCACACTGCACCCAACCCTGGCCAGTGAAGAAGACCTACATTTGGAAGGCAGTTCCTTGGTGTCAGCTACCAGATTTGTTGCTGCTCTGCTAGCCCTGGGCACCACCAGTGGGTGCCATGGCAAGTCAAAAAGTATGAAGAAGGGAAAGAGAAAAAATAATAATTTAAAAAGGGAGGTGGGAAAAAGAAGAAAAAAAGAGGTGAAATGAAAGATGCACATGCCTTGCCTTGTTGCTTTAAGAACCTGGGTTATCTGCTTCCATATTTGGAGCTTCTTCCTCATGTCTGCTCAGTTCTCTACCTTACCCTGTGGAGGAAGGGAGGGTATGGTGAAGCCCAAGGTGACTCTGTAACCAGACAGGGCTGCCTTTCCATCACTGCCTGACTGCAGGCTACTTAACCTCTCTGTGCTTCAGTTTCCTCACCTGTGGAACAGAAGCAGTAATTCCACCTCTCAGGGTTGCTCTGGGGCTGAAAATGGTGCACACGGAGACCTGACCTTGGGGGCCCTTGATAACCAGGATAAGACCCCTTGCTTCTCCCTGAGGCCAGTTTTGTGGGTCAGAGACTCTGGCAGCATCTTCCAGTAGAACTTCTAGCAATGATGGCTGTTGAGCACTTGATACCTGTCTAGTGTGACTGAGAGGCTCATTATTTTTTCATTTCATTCTATTTTAATTGCTTTACATATAAATAGCCAGCTGTGGTCAGTGGCTACCGCACTGGGCAGCAAAAAAGGAGTCATTCATGGTCACCACTGGTCCCCCCACCGGGCGGCTGGGCAGGGTGGCCCGTTAGTGTGGACTAGGAGAGGCCCAGGTCCTCTCTGCTCCGACGCAGTCATTTCCCGCTACAAGCTGCTCCTGAATGAAGGCGGGTGGGCAGGGACACCCAGCACCTCAGTCTGCCCGGCTTAGGCTGGGAGCAATTAGGTAGGGTTCGTAACGCGTGGACTCCACCGACTTCTGTCCCGCTTGTCCTCACCCTCTCCATCCCAACTATTAATAAATATTTTCCTGATCGAGTGATTGATTTGAGAGAGAGAGAGGCTCAGCATTTCCATTCACAGATGAGGAAACTGAAGCTCGAGTACGTTCAGAGCACACGGCGGAAGGCAGCGGAGCGCCAGCCCAATGGTAAACTCTTTGGGGCTCTGGTGACGTCAAAGACATTTTCGTGGGTCGGGTTGTCAGGGCGCGCGGGGAAAACGGCGGGTAAATATTTGGAACTGTAACCTGGGCTCCGGCCACTGCTAGTCACTGCGGTTCCCGGGCGGGCGCGTGGCGAGGGCGGTGTCTGGGGACAGGGGCGTCCCCCGCGGCGGCTGGGACCGACCCCGTGGCCCCGCCCCGCCCCGCCCCCGCCGGCGGCTATAAGACTCCGGGCTGCGGTGTCAGCGCTGGTGAGAGTGAGCGCGCGTGCGGACCCCGCTGGGACAGCGGCGGGAGCGCGGCCGGTGAAGGCGACAGGCAGAGCGGGAGCGCGCGTGCGGGACAGCGAGCCCCGCAGTACCCCGGCCTCCGTGCGAGCGTCCCACGGTCCCGGGGCCAGCACCTTGCAGGACCCTCCGCCGAGCCAGCCCATGAAGCCGCCCGCAGCGCAGGGCAACCCCGCGGCCGCCGCGGCCGCAGGTGAGTAGGGTTCACATAAAGTGGTGGTGGTGAGGGGGACCGGGAAAGAAGGGTGATGCCGTGTCGTCTCTTTTCACCCTACCTGCCCTCCATCCTCACCGGCGGGAACCCGGCCCTGGCAGGTCCAGCTCCCCTCCCCACGCAGGACTGGGGATCCGAGCCCCACACTAACGGGCGCAGCTTGACTCAGTTTTCCCACCGCCACTGGGTTCGCACACGCCCCAAGGGGAGCGAGCGTGGGGACACGTACCCCGCAGCGCGTGGGAAAGAGTTCCGCTGTGTCGATTAGTGGGTGACCTTTGGCCTGCAGTTTTACGCGCTGGAGGCTCAGTTTGCCTGTCTTAAAGGTAGGCATGATGCTAGATCGGGCGTCAAGGGGTGGCTGAGAATATTACAAAAATAAGCCGCGGCAGCGACCGCGTGGCCGTCACGGGCAAGCGCGCAGTGAGTGCTGGCTGTCCTCGGAAATGGTGGCGCCCCGCCCGTCCCCACCACTGAGCCCACGGCCCCTGTCCCCCAGCCCCGGCCTTGGACTCCGCGGCCGCCGGGGACCTGACGGACGCGCTGTGCGAGTTCGACGCGGTGCTGGCCGACTTCGCGTCGCCCTTCCACGAGCGCCACTTCCACTACGAGGAGCATCTGGAGCGCATGAAGCGGCGGAGCAGCGCCAGTGTTAGCGACAGCAGCGGCTTCAGCGACTCCGAGAGTAAGTGTGGCCCCACCAAAGAAGGTGCCCAGAGCCCTGGAGGCTCCCGGTACCCGTCCACTAAGGGGCACTCTGAGCGCGGGTCTGTTTTCGAATCTGTGCACCGAGGGGTGGGGCCCAGCGGAGTGAACCCTACAGCTCAGGCAGCCTCTAGGATGCTGGGAGACTCGCGTCGCCAGGGTGATAGGCCCAGCGGGGTCAAGAAACCGGGATAATCAGCGGGAAGGTTCTTGTGGGCAAGCTGTCTACCTGCTCCAAGCAGGTGTCAGGACGCAGGAGGGTTTAAGGACGCAGCTTGTCCCGCCGCAGCCGGACAGGATTGCTGGGCCTCCAGCCTTTCCCCAGTTCCCTCTCCCCGGCTCCTCTCCCTTCGCAGCAAAACTTTTCAGAGGATGTGGAGCAAGTGCCACAGGAATGGGGGTGGGAGGGCACAATACTGAAACATCCGTGAAACCATTAAAGGTTTCATAAACCGCTGTTCTTGGGATTTTTGAAATAACTTCTTGCACTTTCTTTTGGCCCTGAGCTCGTGGACTTGTTGCTCCATTACATACAGTTTTGAAAGAATCCCTGGCACTGCTGAGTTCACGTGTTTTAGGAAGTGTCCCTCTTCCTTCAGGCAAGCCCATCAGGGGGAGTGCTGCTTTGACTCCCCATTCGGACTGGACAGGGACCAAGAGAGCAGATGGGCACAGAAATGCTTCCTGGTGACTTCCAGGGTCTCTCTGTCCTAAACAACCTCAGAAGAGAGACAGCTTTCTCCAAGAACTCAAATGTTCTGTAAGGACCAGGGCTATCTGTTTAGGTGTCAAACAGCAAATTTGGCAACTTTTCAGTATTACATGATTTCCATGGTTTCAGTATTACATGATTACATGGTTTCCAATCCTGGGTTACTCACTATGTTTCCAAGTGGATTTGAAACAGTTCTAGGTTATTCTTTTTTTTTTTTATCCTCACCCGAGGATATTTTTCCATTTTTTGTACAGATAGAGCGGGAGGGAGAGAGAGGAAGGGAGAGAGAGAGAGAGAAACATCGACGTGAAGGGACACATCGAGTGGCTGCCACCCGCACGACCAACCAGGGCCACCAGGGCCGGGGACAAACCGCAACCGAAGTCCGTGCCCTTAGCGGGAACCGAACCCTGGTCTCTCCGGACCGCAGGCTGACGCTCTAACCGCTGAGCCAAACTGGCCAGGGCAGTTCTAGGTTATTCTTGAGACTTCCCTCCCTAGACTGCTACAAGCATAAATGTCACTCCCTTTTTGGCCCTCAACTTTGGAAGTAAAAGTAATGCCTCTTCCTTGTAATTCTCTTCGTTTGAAATCTGTTCTACCTTGTTAGAGTGCAAAGGTTGAGTTTTAGATATAAACATGAGCTGTCCTCCTGCAAAGGGATAAAGGGCACTCACCATGCTTCAGGGTTTGAGTCAGAAACCTAAGTTCCAGCCCACATTTTTTTTTTTTTTTTTTTTTGACAGCCTTGCCCAAGGGTTAGATCTAATTGCAGCTTTGAGGTGACAGGGAATGGAATAGTGTGCTGTTAATTTTCCGTTTTGTATTTTTGGATTTTGTGGCTAATGACCAGACTGCTTATATTTAATTTCAAAGGGAAGTCTAAAAACTTTTGAAATTTGTCTCACTATCTGTTGCCAAACTGAAATATGTCCCCTTCTAACTGGGGCATGGAGCAAGTTATTCATCGAGAACAAATTCTCTCCCCCACAGGAAAGAAAGCGGGGGCACCCTGTCCAGTGCTGCTCTATTGCAAAGAACAGCTCCTTTCTAAACCACAGCCGAGCTTGGCTGGAACACAGTGTGGGCTTGCCCATTCATGGGTGACTGCAGCTCCCTCTGGGTAGGATTTCAGGTCTGAGATCTGTTTTCAGGGGCCTCAAAGAGAAGGTACTTATAACACATTGTGAACGGTTTTGGGGGGATATATGAAATAATCTGTAGTTGTTCTTAGGGTATGTGTGTGTATTTTGTTTTCTGCTTTTGTTAACTGTTGAACTAACCCTTAGTTTAGTATTTAGAGAAGTAATAGGGAGGGTATAAAGAAGGCTCTGATGACATTAATCTTTTCGACAAATGTGTAGTTTGTCCCCAATAAGACTGCTTAGAAACAGTCTTGGCAGAAGTGATATGTATCTAAAGAGTAATTTCTGAAGGAAGCATAATATGTATATCTTAATTGCCACCAAGGATTAAGCACAGTTATAACCAATTGTTTGTTTAATGCTTTTCTGTGGAAGAGAATGTTTGAGAGGTAGATCCTGCTGACTGTAGTCCGCCAAAAGGGAAACACACCAAGATAATGATAAGAGAAGGTCACTTTTGCCAAGCCCTACTATAATTACTATGATTACTTATTAGCTCTTATTATAGTGATCTCTTTGCTGTGCTTTAAATGTGTCATCTCACAGGATCACTACCACAGTTCTATAAGATAGACACTATTATTTGCATTTTTCTGATAGAACAGCAGAACCATGTGGGCTCTCTCCCCAAGGCCTTGCTCTGTCACGGTGGATTGTTGGCTGGAATGGGAGCCAAGTCCTCAGGAATAGACTTGAAGTCCCATTGAACCCAGATCACTGCCTATTTAGCAATGGTGGTTGTGTTTGAAGGTGTATCTTTAAGTAGTAGTCATCTGGCTGGGGCAGTGGAGGCCAGGCTGCGCGCCGTCAGGGCCCTGGGTGATGAGTGGGCTTGTTTCTCTAGCTGTAAAATTGGATGGGTGCTGTTTAATAGTGAAATGAGAAATATCCACAAGCTCATGATTAGGAAGAAATATTTGCTCTGTTTAATGCTTTCAAGGAAACACTAAAATTCATCATGCTATATCATGTACTCACATATACATTTAAGCCAGTACCTTGCGTGCAAGTGTTAACGTATGAAACTTTAAAACAAGGTTGCCTTGGTTTTCACTTTTACCTTTACCTTTGTATTGCTCTGAAGATGTTCCCACTGCATTTCTGTGTTTTTGAAGAACTCTTCCTTTTCGGGGACGAGCAACTCGCTTCCTTAGCATGTACCAGACCCAGAATGTCTGTATGTCTTTGCCTAGACTCTTCCGGCCCTGGGAGAAGGGACCTCGTGGACCCTGGGTGCCCGCATGACGAGTAGCATGTCGACTGATCCGGCATAGGAGCCACTGAACTTGTTTGAACCTCCAGAGGATGGGGAGTTAGGAGCCCTCAGGCTGCCCTAGTGCTATGTTAGGAATTCCAGGTGGCTGACAGGTCGCACTCCGAAGGCCACCTGGAGAGGTGTCTCGAAGGATGAACAGTCTCAGAAGGGAAGCTGAGACAACAGTGGTGAAACTGAGAAAGGGACTCTTTCTCACTCTACCCCACTTTTAGTGAGGCTGTCAGAATTCAGAGTTCTGCGGAGGAGATTCACCCGCCCCCCATTCCCTGTGGCAAAAGGGAAACAGGTCCAAGGCTTTCTTTTTCTCAGTTAATTACTATGGTTTGCTTGCCTTAGACGTGTGGGATTGTTCTATATTTACAGGAGCCCTGGCCATGGTCCACTGTCTGTGGTTTTACTTCCCACATGCTGGTGCTAACCCGAAATTACCTTGCTTCCCACCCCTCACCGAAAAAAGCACATCTACCTTTTAAACAAGCCTCTGTTTTTGTAGCTGAGTGTCCCAAGCTCTGTTGGTACTCCTAAAGTTAGATATTTGTATGTTTAATGTGCTTACATTTCTTCTGACGGTGTCCTACAAAACTTGGTCTCCGAATTTGAGGTTCCTGGCTTCAGCACACTTAGTAGACTTGCCAAGGACATTTTAATGGGGCTTGTGAGCTGATTGAAGTAGATGTAAGGCCTTGAATATCTAGTCTTGCCACCTGTCAAGGTTCCCCAAATCATCACTGTTATGTGCTCCTCAAACCCCTGTTAATAGCATCTGATACCTGGGTGGGGCAATAATACATTAATGTGCTATCAGCCAGTGACACATTACTGTCATTTTATTAGACTAACTGGCTGTCATTTTGCAAGGAATAGAGTTCCAGGGGAGTGAAAGGAACAGGAAGTCAGGCTTTGCTAACCTTTTAATTCACCACAACACTGTCATGAGATCTTGTTCATTGTGGGTGCTTAAGAAAAGTCTGTAATATGAAATTTTACTGGATAGTAGGTAATGAGAGGTCTTGAGTTTGAGGACTTTTATATAGGTGGTTTGTTCTTGGGAAGTTTGTTCTAGGGCATCTCTGAAGATAAACTTCTCTTAAGAATGTTGCTACTATCTGAAGAGGAGGAGGAAGCGTTGGCCTAGAATCTTGATTCTCACTATTGTGTGTGGTGACCTTTCCTCTCCTGGGTATTCCATCCTGCATTTTGCCAGGAACTTGAGAATAAAATCGTGGAAACCATGGGCATCACACATGGAGCACCTGAGTTATTATTCCCCTTTTGCAAAAGAAGAAACTCAGGCTCAGAGGTGAAGTGACTTTGCGGGGCCACATGGCTTCCCACGGCTTCTCATCCCGCAGGTCTTTATGATGGCAACCTCTGCTGGGCCCCAGTATCTTTGGGGCTCTTGAGGTTGTCCTTTTCATCTTTTCCATGAATGACATTTGTAGATTATTACTACAGGGTGGAACTAACCTGTGGGCCGTTTTGACTCAAGAATGCTGGGGTTCATTCCTTTTGGTGGCTGAACATCATCGGAGCCTGGAGTCAGGGTTAGCTCAGATTGTGCCCAGGAACTTGTGGAAAGAGAGAGGCATCAAGGTGTATTGGTGAGCCAGAATGTGAGCCAATGTGTGTGCGTGCGTGTTTTTCCCCTCCCAAAGGATAAGTATGTGTGGATGTAAAATGGCTGGAGAGTTGGAGCAGAACAGAGATGAAGGCCACAGCCAGAGCAAGAGCCTGTGGTGCAGGGTGGAGAGGAACGAGGCGTGGTGCGAAACTGGCTCTCCACGGCCAGCTGTCTCTGCGAGATAGAGAACAGAGGTGTGGCCGCTGGGCTCTGGGCCAGTGCGTCTCTGGGTCTGGCACCCTGGGCCAGGGATGGGGGTGACGCTCTTTCCCCCACACATTTGTGGTAATTCTCTCTATCACATAGTGACAAATCGTAACAGTCCACTGTAGGTCTGCAGTGGACACAACCACTCTCCTGTATGTAGGGGGAAGCCTTCCCTTGAGGAAATCCAGACTGCTCTAGAGGTGGGCTTAGCCGACAAGGGAAACGGAAGGAACTTCCCTCGTTGAGTTCCACCGAGTACAAGGATCTTAAGAAATACTAGCAGGATTGCCACAGAAAAGTGTCCCGTGATCAAATAAGCCTGGAAAATAGGGCTTAATTTATCACAAGACTCCTCAGGGATGTTAACATGGTAATACACAATGGAATCTCCAAGGGGGCTCAGTATTTCCCAAGCTTCGTTGATTATACAGTTCTATTTATTTATTTTTAAATCCTTACCGAGGATATTTTTTTTGTTTATCTTCAGATAGAGTGGGAGTGAGAGACAGAGAGAGAAACATCAATGTTAGAGAGACGCATCGGCTGGTTGCCTCCCGCACGACTCCAACCAGGGCTGGGGACCAAACTGCAACCGAGGTCTGTGTCCCTGACCAGAATCGAACCTCTGACTCTGGTCCGCGGGCCGATGCTCTAACTGCTGAGCCAAACCGGCCAGGACTACAGCTTTCTTTTAAAGGACCAGTATTCTGAGGAATATTTTTCTGGGGAAATGTGAGAGGTTCCACATTTCGGATCTCAGTAGGTGTTTATCATCAAAGCCCTGAAAAATGACGTGATCCTTTTAGGTGATGTGAGCTGGACCTTCGAAGGGTGAAAAGACTGAGGGTTGGGCATGTTTAGAAAAGTGGACAAGGTGGGAGTGCAGGCCAGGAAGACACGAGGCGCTGGGGCTACCTGGCATGAGAGGGTGGGAGGAGAGGGAGCCAGGTGAGGGGCCTGAGAGTTGTAGCAGCCTATTAGGGATGAAGATAAGTTGTCTTGGGACCAGAAATCTCTGCTTCTGAAAACCCTTTTTATTCCGGGCATGTCTTTTGTGACTTAATCATGTTCATTTTGAGTTAAGGGGACCAAAGAAGGATCTTTTTGCCTCTTCCTGACCTGGGAGCAACTGGGTGAAGTGAGTGCTTCGCATGGAGGACTGGCCAGCCCCTGAGGAGTCAGTTTCCCTCTCTCACCTGAAGAGCCTTTCCAGGGCTCATGGCTGCCACATCCGTGGCTGGCTGTGTGTTTTGTTTCAACCAGGAAGACTGTTCCCTCAGCGGCCACATCCTGCTTCCGTCTGTGCTGCACCTTTGAGCCCTTTGAGCCCTTTGCCGCCAGCAGCCCCGCTCTGGCGCAGCCGCGTGGCTGGGCCGCCCGTGGGCTGGCCTCCTCTCCCTGGCAGGACTTAGAGAAACAGAACCTCAGGGCTGGAAAGGACTTGAAGGGTTATTTAGTCCACCTGCCCATTTTTTTGATGGGTAAGCTGAGGCCCAGAGATACTGTCTTGCTCAAGGGCACCCAAGTAGCTGAGCAACTTCCTGGACTCCCAGTGCAGCCCTGCTTCTGCGACTTCGCCTTCGATCGCTCCAGTCCTGGGGGTGTGACAATAGAGGAGTCGTGCCATCACCCGACAAGCCACAGGAGGAGAAATCTTTACTTTGACCCTCCAGCTTGTGCCCAGAGTGTAATCTCTCAGGGAAACCATGACAAAGATCCTCTCTTGAATAGGCAGGGAAGATGATTAAGTCACGTGTTTATATTTTAGGGAGTTCAGAGGGCAGAGAGGAGAGCTTTTAGGAAAGATGATTCCTTATGTCTAAGATCCCAAACCAACCTGGTGTGGGTCAGACCCCCGGGCAGTGGGCTCCTGTGTGTTGCAGAGGAGGCTGGTCTGGTGGTGAGGGCTCCCCCACACCCTGCCTTTCTCAGGGCAGCAAGGGCCTTTGGTGTGTATGATGCAGACACACACTCACACACAGACACAGGCATGCTCTCCTGCGTCGAATCATTTTTGGGCATACATATAAAATCTAGAAATCAACCTGTTTTCTTTACGATGAATTTATATCCTTTGCTCCTTGGGAGGATAAGCTATTGATTATCAACAGACTATAAGACCGAAAGCCAGGCCTAATGAGTTACGTTTTCTTTCCCAAAAGGTGCAGATTCATTTTATAGGCACAGCTTCAGCTTCAGTGATGAAAAACTGAATTCTCCCACAGACTCCACCCCAGCTCTGTCTCCTGCAGTCGCTCCTCGGAAAGGTGAGTTCCGCAGCTGGAGCTGAGTTTTGTTCCTTTCCATTTCCTTCCGCTTCTCAGTCTCTTCGCTCTTCTCCCCCGATCCTCAATCAGTCTTTCCCAAATGCAAAACAAATAGATGACTAATACCTTAGTGCAGTACAGTGTGAAGTGGGGTTTGTTATTTTTCAGGATTTTGATCAGGGTGAAAATGAAATCAGATAATATGGCAGGGTGGGGTGGGAGCACCCAAACCCCAAATTCACAGGGAGAAAGCTTGTAGACTCCAGAGTCTGCTTTCTTCAATGTGGTGTCCTCAAGCTGTCAGAGGACGGTGCTCTGCCTGCCTGGTTGGTTCTAAAGTTTAAAACTCAGCAGTTAGGCTTTGCAGAAAGTAGGATTCTTCTTATTGCATTAATTATTTAACCAATGATTTCAGATGACCAATTTAGCAATTAAATGGGGTCATCATTATGAGACAAGCAATGATCTAACTTGATTCAAAATAGCTGCTCCAGCCTGTCTCTGCTCTGATATTAATAGACCTAAAAGTTTTAAAAGATGCATGAGCAGTTTCTTATTTTTTGGAATTAGTAAAGTATCTTCAGCTAGAGAGCTGAATGTTCTGCTATAGTGAACAAGGGCCCTTTTGAAAACAAAAGGAGTTTTTTCCTTAAGAAACATTATACTTGCAGAAAATAGTTGCAGAGTGCAATAAAAATGGAACATAGTTCAAAAGAAATATGAAGATTCCATCACTTTTCTCGCTCTGGCATTAAGGCAGAATTTCTCTCTTTTTCAAAAGAGACATTTTAAAATTCTCTCAGCATAGCAATATTAGCAGCCACTAGGGACTCTGCTATTGTCCAGCCCTCCTTCTGTAATGGATCTGTTGAATTCAGACAGACAGGGCAGTCTAGAAAGTGGCTTAAAACATGCCCAGATCTGCTACCTGATCCGCAAGAGGTAGGAATTAAAGAGGGGAACAGAGCCCTACTGGCAAATTGACTTTATAAGCTAAGAACAATGAGCCATTTGTAGCCAGCAGGGGTTAATTAATACAAATATCCAGTGGTGCATTTCAGAGAAGGCATGAATGATGAACTCTACGGAAAAAAGAAAGATACATGACAAAAAGTATGTATCAGGATGCAGAGGGAACAAAATCAGGAGACGGATCCGTTACCTCCTGCTGGCACCTGGATGGGATGACAGAAGCCTCATGTCCCCTTTCCTGTACCACTTGGACAAGGACCAGGGGTTCTCCTTCCGTTTCATACTGGAGGGACTCTGAGGGCTTAGGGTGACCGCACAAACGAGGTGTCCGAGAGATCAGTGCAGCAGGAATTATGGGATCTGGGTGTCCATTGTGCACAGAGCATGCTCACTAAATATTTTTGTTAGATAACTCAAATCCTACACAATCAAAAAGTCAAAACCTTGCATCTTCCTTCCTTGCTCTTCACACTCCCTTCTCTCTCCCCAAAACTCTTTTTTGTTGTTATTGTTAATCTTAACCCAAGGATATTTTTTCCATTGATTTTTTTTTAGAGAGAGTGGAAGGGAGGGAGTGAGGGTGGGAGGCAGAGAGAGAGAGAGAGAGAGAGAGACATCAAAGCCGATTGGTTGCCTCCCGCACCCATCCTGACTGGCTGGCTGGGACAAACCTGCAACCTGGTATGTGCCCTTGACTGGCAATCGAATCGGAGACTCTTTGGTGCAGGGGCCGATGCTCTAATCATTGAGTCACACCAGCCAGGGCACCCCCAAAACTTTTAAGGACATGAAAGGAGGATCTTAAAAGTTTGCTGGGGTGGGGGAGGAAGATGAAAGAAACATTTAGGCTACTCTTTGAAAATCGTTTCTAAGTTGACTGTAAGTAAACATGGGAGCAGACACTTGGGTTGGTACAGGACACTCTTCACTAACATCTCTGAAGGTAGAGATGCAAAACGGGGTGTGTAGTCATGGGAAACGTGGGAGTCGTCAGCTGCCTCTGATATAGGGAAACTGAACTTCAACTGTTGTTTTTCAGCCAAACTAGGAGACACAAAAGAGCTAGAAGACTTTATTGCTGATCTTGACAGAACATTAGCAAGTGAGTACATGCCTGGTATTAAAAAAATCAAACAGAAGACTAACTGACACCTCTGATAAAGTGCTGCAACATTTACCAACTCGCCTGGGGGCAGGAAGTTACACCATAAGGCCTCTTTAGGTTCTCAAACAGGACCCCAGTGGCTCAGAAATAAATGGGGAGGATCAGCTTGCCTTAAAGTAGAGCATGTGACTTTTCAAAAAACGAGAATGGGACACCCGCAAACAATGGCATTTTGTTTGGGAAATGGAAAATAAGGTAGTGTTAGAACAACATGGGAGCTTTACCACCACGAAGGCTCCCAGGCTTTCCAGAGAAGGGATGATCTGATTGGCTACGCCAGCATCGTGCTGACAAGCCAGAGGGTTCCTCCCCATGGGCCAGGGACATTTTCCCAGGTTAGACTCAGGGGTTTGGTGAGGTCTGACCTCCAGAGGGGTGGGTCTCGAGAGAGAGTTAGCTGGGGGAGTCCCTGTAACCAACGATCCACACCAATTACACAATGATACCCTATTTTGTGTGACCAAAAATGTTGGTACCTGAAGATACCTGATCATAACTGCAAAAGGGAGTCTAGAGGAGGGATGGGAGACTCAATGTACACACTCTGTTTCCAAAGGACAGCATTGCAGGAGCCAGAAGGTACAGCTAGAGCTTCTGAGATAAACGTTGCAGCAGCTCTTCCCTTTGGGGGCCGCGCCCAGTCACAGAGCAAGCTTGGAGAATTTTGTCCTAGCCCCATGCTTTTTCAATGAAAGAGTTCCTTTTCCGTAAGAAATATTATACGCTGTGCTCTGCTAAGTAGATAGGTAAAAATCTGAACAATTAGATCCAAAGTTGGTTATTTATAAATAACTCTGTTCTTAACACGATTTCAGACAGACCTAAATATTGGGTGAAAAGTCCTGTGTGTTCCCTACCTGCAGAACCGATTGCCCACTTTCTTACATACTGTGCCATCCGCATCAGAGGAACAAGGCCTGTTCGGACAGAGACTTTTCGTAATTGCAGCTCTGTCTGCATTAGACCCATGTAACAAGCCCGTCTGCTTCATGGAAGTTGCAGCCGGCTGACCAGTCTTACCAGTTCATCAGACTTACATTATGTGGGAAGCCTGCCTTTAAGTTTGTTGCTTTGATGCATGTCTGAGATGGTGGCTAAACACCGGACTTGTAAACTTTTGTGAACGGATCACCGTATCTATCCTATTTACAGGTATGTGAGAAAAGGAGACGTTCTGGGTCCTTCCATCATAAAGGAGAGGCTTCGGGAAGCTCTGAGCACCTGGTAAAATCAGCTACAGAATTTGCTGCCAGAAGGAACAGAGGTGGCATTTGCCTGCCGTTCGCAGGCTGGTCCTAAAACTAGCCTTTGGGCTCATCTCTGGGCAATTCAACAGTGAAACTGACTCTGTTTACCTGCTTGCAGCACATTAGAACAGACCACCCATGCTAATATCGTATTTTCTCTTAAAATATAGCTTTCCTGTAATTTAAAGTGCTTTTATGAAAATATTTGTAATTAATTATATATAGTTGGAAACAGTGATATGCTTTTCTCATTATAATATATTTTTGTATGCAAATAAAATTTGAACTGGAGTCTGTATTTTGTAAGCTTTCTTTCTTTTTTTTCTTCCTATATATTATCATTCAAATAATAATATTCTAGGGGAACGACATGCCTCTTAACTCCTAACACGGGCCTTGGATGCTGCCAATTGTACTAGACAACAGGATGGCAAACTGAAAGCATTACTTTGAAGCTCATTTGCACACTCTAGATGGAAATGTTGACATGTGATTAATGGGAAACTTTAATTTGAGGATGGTGGCTCTGATGGAAGTTGGGTTTCTTTTCTATCTCTGTTCTCCCGTCTTCATATCTTAGCACCTTTATGGGATCATAGGCTCTCTCCCTCAATTTCAGGGAAATACCAGCTTCACTCACAATTCCGGACTTAAATATGAGGGGAAGTTGCGGCAGCCAGAAGGCCTAAAAATGAGGGTGCTCTTATAAATTTCTGCGCTAAGGAAGATTTTTTGGTGCTGCCTCGATGCCCCTGTTCAGTGGAGCCGGAGGGTTCAGATGCAAGGTGGTCCGCAGGGTGGGCTTTGCACGTAGGAGCCGCTGCTCACCCCACACCCTCACCTGCCTTTTCTGGAGGATGGAGAGAGATGTAAAAAAGGAAAGTTAATTTTCTTATTTATGATTTTTCTATTTAAAAACCTCTAAAATAACTAGGCATCACTTTGATAATCAAATCAAGTAATTTAAAAACTTCGATTCTTATATTCCTGTAGGACACAAATCCAAACTTAACTATTTATAATTTTATTTATATATTCAAAAGTGAACTACTATATTTGATTTTTTTCTTTTTCTTTTAAGACATTAGGAGAGTAAATTGTCTTTTAAAAAAAACCCTTTTCCTTCAAGTTTCTGGGAAAACTTTTGGGTTGAACCCACATATTTTCTTTGTTTCTTTATTGAGATATAATTCACATACTCTAAGAGTCATCCTTTTATTTTATTATTTTTAAAAAATTTTTATCCTCACCCGGGGACATTTTTGCATTTATCTTCAGATAGAGTGGGAGGGAAAGGGGCGAAGAAAGAGAGAGAAAAACACCCATGTGAGAGAGACACATTGAATGGTTGCCAACCTCAACTGGGGCCAGGGACAAACTGCAACTGAGGTACGTGCCCTTAGCGGGAACTGAACCCGGGTCTCTCTTGTCTGCGGGCCAATGCTCCAACCGCTGAGCCAAACCGGCCAGGGCAATAGTTATTCTTTTAAAGTATACAAATCAGTGACATTTAGTATATTTACAGAGTTGTGCAAGCATCACCACTATCTAATTCTGTCTTTTTGGATTTGTGTATTCTGGATATTTCATATGGATGAAATCATAAATTATGTGATCTATTGTGCCTGGCTTCTTCCCCTCCCCATACCATTTGCAAGGTCCATCCATGTTGTACATGAATGAATACTTTATTCCTTTTTATGACTGAATAATAATCGACTATATGTATATAGTATTTTTTTCTTGTGGATATATGTTTTAATTTCTCTTGTATATATAACTATGAGTGGAATTTCTAGGTCATATGATAACCCTATGTTTAACTTTTTCATAGCAGTTGCACCATTTTACATTCCCACTAGAGATATATGAACATTCCAATGTCGCTACATCCTCGCCAATATTTGTTATTGTCTGTCTTTTTATTTTAAAAACATTTTTTTTTTCCTGTATTGAGAGGGGAAGTGAGAGAGATAGAAACAACAACGAGAGAGAACATCAATTGGCCACCTCCTGCATGTCCCCTACTGGGGAGTAGGCCCACAACCTGGGCATGTGCCCTGACTGGGAATGAACCAGTGACTTCTTGGTGCATGGGTTGAAGCTCAGTCACTGATCCACACCAGCCAGACTATTGTCTGTCTTTTTAAATATAGCTATCCTAGTGGGTGAAAAGTTGTATCTTATTGTGGTTTTGATTTGATTTGCATTTCCCTGATAACTAATGATGTTGAGCATGTATCTATTCCTATACTTATTGACAATTTGTAGATCTTTGGAGAAATGTCCATTCAAATCCTTTGCCCATTTTTTAGTTAGGTTGTCTTTATTATTGTTGAGTTGAAGGAGTTTTCTATGTATTCTATATACGAGTCCCTTATAAGACATATGATATGCAAATATTTTCTCCTTTGGAGCACAAAAGTTTTTTTTTTCCTTCGGAGCACAAAAATTTTAAACTTTGATGAAATCCAGTTTATCTATTTTTTTCTTTTGTTACTTATGTTTTTAGTGTCATATTTAAGAAACGACTGCCTAATTCAAGGTCACAAAGAGTTACTTATATGTTTTCTTTTAAGAGTTGTAAAAGTTTTACAACTCTTACATTATACAAATCTCATATTTAGGTCTTTGATGTACTTTGAACTAATTTTTGTATACAATGTGAGGTAGGGATCCAACTTCATTCTTTTTTTTACATTAAATTTATTGGGTGACATTGGTTAGTAAGATTATTTAAGTTTCAAGTGTACATATTATAACACGTTATCTGTATGTTGTACTATGTGCTCATCACCCAAAGCTTAGTCTCCTTCTATCATCATATATTTGATCACCTTTACCTTCTTCAATATTTCCCCATCCTCCTTCCTCCCTGGTAACCACCATACTATTGTCTGTGTCAATGAGGTTTTTTTGCTTGTTTTGTTCATTCATTTGTTGCTTTCTGTTTTATATCCCATATATGAGTGAAATCATATTCTAATTCTTTTCCATCTGACTTATTCCATTAAGCATGATACTCTATAAGATCCATCCATGTTGTTGCCCCAACCCCATTCTTTTTCATGTAAATATCCAGTTGGCATAGCAGTATTTGTTGAAAGACTTACCCCCCCCTCCCCGCCAACTGAATTGTGTTGGCATTCTTGTTGAAGATCGATTGACTATAAATGTATGGATTTGTTTCCAGACTCTCAATTCCAGTCCAGTGATCTACATGTCTTTCCTTATTCCAGAACCACACAGTCTTGATTACTATAGCTTTGCAGTAAGTTTTGAAACCAAAAAGCATGTGTCTTCCAACTGTTCTTCTGCAGGATTATATTGGCTGTTTTGGGTACCTAACATTTTCATATAAATTTTAGGTTCAGTTTGTCCATTTTTTGAAAAAAAAAAAAAAAAAAGGCAGCTGGAATTTCCATAGAGATGGAATAGAATTTAGAGGTCAGTTTGGGGAGTATTATTATCTTAGCAACATCAAGTCTTCCAATTCATGAATATGAAATGTCTTTTCATTTATTTAGGGCTTCTTAATTTCTTTCAACTATGTTTTGTAATTTCCAGTGTATGAATCTTACACTCCACTTGTATTCTTTGTGATCCTATTGTAAATGAAGTTGTTTTCTTAATTTTATTTTTAGATTGTTCTTCAACAGTATATAGAAATACATGTGATTTTTGCATATTGATTTTCTATCCTGCAAACTTGGTGTATTTAGTTCCAATAGTTTTTATGGGTTTATATACAAAACCATACCATTTACAAACAGAAACAGTTTTACTTCCTTTCCAATCTGAATGTCTTTTTAATCCTTTCTGTTGCCTCATTACCCTAGAACTTCCAGTACAACGTTGAAAACGGGTGGTGAGAGGCATGTCCTAGTCTTACTCCTGATCTTAGAGGAAAAGCTTTGAGTCTTTCACCAGTGAGTCTGATGTTAGCTGTGGGCGTACTTCCTTTTTTGATCAATTGAACTCTTGACTTGTTTTCTAAACACAACTTTTCCATGACCTGCAACTGTTTCTTGCTCATGCTTGGGAGACTTTATCTGCTTTGGATAAATCTTTTTTCATCAGGACACCAGTGGCTGGCTGCTCATTGTCAGCACCATAATTTTGATTATTAGCCTCTTCTGGGGTGGAGCCTCTGCCTGCATTTGGCAGCTCTTTCTCTTTGGTCTCATGGAACACGAACTCCAGTAGTTAGAAGTGCAGGGCATGTGGCCTCTTGTGAGGATAAGGCCAGTGGTTTGGGGAGAAGAAGTGGATTCTTTCAGAGAAGTGTTAGGGGAGAGTAGTTTATGTTCTACAAGCCTCTGTTGGATGAATAACTGGGAACAAGCACAGCTTGTGGACTGAGTCACAGCTTGCGGTTGTAAGAGTGTTGAAAAAAATATTTTCAGTGTTTTTCAAGATGCATGTCAAGTAGCACATTCCAACCAGTTTTGAGACCTAGATATCAAGGTCATATATACTTGAAAAGTGCTGCATGGTATGTATCCCACTTAGAGATTTGTTGTGATTATAATGCATAAATTATTTAAGGTTCAGTCTCAGTTGGTGGATCAGAGAACCCAAAATGTAGTGTCTTAAACAAAATGGAAGGTTTTTTTCTCACTAGCCCAGAGGTGAGCAGTATAGGTCTGGGTGAGTGGCTTCATGGTCCAAAGTGGCTGCTCCTGCTCTTGTCATCACATTTACATTCCAGCCAGTAGAAAGGAGAAAAGGCAAGTCAACACAGGCTTATTTCTTTCAATGACACGGCTAGAAGGGACACAAATCACTTCTGCGCTTATTCCCTTGCCTAGATCTTTGTTGGGTGGTCATCCTCAGCTGCAAGGGAGGCTGTGAAAAACATCTTGTTGGGCAGATATATATGTGCGCAGCTAAAATTTGAGAGTGCTATTATTAAAGAAGGACAAAGAGAATGGGCTTTGAGGGACAACTAGTCACGTCTGCCTCAGAGTCCTGGAGCACGGCGCCTACTCCGAGCCCCGAGCGCCAACAGCAGGCCCTTGCAAACCGCTAGTTATCTGCGCTAGTTACCTGGAGCGCGCTAGCCAGCGGGCTTTTCTGGAACAGAACAAGACCAGATATTGAGTATGCAGAGCTGTTAGGATGTGAACAGTATGTTTTCGAGTTTGAAAATTTTCTGTTCTAACTTCTGGGAGGAATAGCTAAATCAAAACAAAACAAAAAAATATGACACACACCCAAAGTGAGAGGATCCAGTGCCAGCCCAAATACTTACACACCAGCCAGCCTCTGGGATGGGACGGAGGAGCCAC